CACATAAATGAGTGAGAATTTTATCTACTCTTTTAGCAGTGTTTTAGCAGTTTATCATTGGCAGCAGCCATAAAAGAATATCCAGAAAAAAGAATATTTAAGCAATTGGATTAAACACTTCATTTGCAAGCACCAATAGATCGTCAATGAAGTGGAACGAAAAAAGTGAAAGTCTAAAAAATACGGTAATTTTTTTTCCTTTTAACTGCCGTTAAGGCTTTAAGTTAATATCTAATACAAAAATCTTTTTCAAAGGCTCAGCTATTAAAAAAAGGAGTAGAATGATGCTTAACAGACCAATATACGAATTTGCAGCGTTTTTTAGGAAAAAACTACGAGGAGAAACAGAGTAATCGTTAAGCTAATCGCTATAACATTCGTTTTTAAAGCTTTTGAAGTGCCCTCTGATAGAACAAAATGTTTTAAGCACAAGTAAGATTATATTCCTAATATTTGACTTAACAAAATAGAATGCAAATCTTCAGCATTTTTTAGAAAAGGAAGTATTTGGTCGTTAAAATCAAAATAACTCTAAAAAAGATACAAAGAATCTGAAATGTTATAGACAACGAATAAAAATACTACAAGTTCCAGTAAGAATATAATGATGGTCTATTTAAATGTTAACGAGCTAATCATTGAATAAAGTCGAACCAAAAATAAGTACTGATGAAGATAGGCCTAACAAAATGACTGCAATACTTGCTTTCTGGCGAAGAATATATTTATCTTCACTTTGAGGATAAATAGAATTAAAAAGTGAAGTGATTTTCATTTATGAATGTGTATGATTGAATAATTAATTAATGAATAAATTAATTCATTTATAGAAAGTCGCTTGCGTAAAATGCAATATGGCATTAAATCATTTTTCGAGTAAACTGTGCTTGCTTTCCTCCAATAGCTGCTTGTCCGTGGCAAGACTTATTTAGTAAATTAAAGTGTTGTTGAACAATTCTGTAGAGTATTTTCCTGATTAACATTCAATTACTACAATAAAAGTCGTTGGAAGAAGTAACAAGGAAGTCAGTAGTTTGAAGGAGCAATTTTAAATCAGATTCCCGGTTTTATATGAAATTTTATTCTTCTAAAAAGATTAAATGGAAACCGTTTTGAATGATTTTTTGTGGAGCCGAAATCAAAGCAGAACTAGACAAATGTCAATGCTTCAGTTCAGTGAGTGATTGATGTAATTATTTACACATTTCAATATTCCTTTGGCTAAAAGTGTGTATGTTACTATTAAACCTCATGCATAGTATTTGGAATGTTGGAAATAATTAAATCTCATACAAAGAAAAATTAAATAACTTTGAAAACCGATATTACAAAAACGTTTCCACAAAAATATACCGACTCCACAATTATTACTTATGATTACGGTAAGTTGCGGTATGAATGCATCTGTATGTGTGTGAATAGATTTTTTGCTGCAAAACCAGTTCACATAAAAATTTATTTGTTGCTTTAGTACATGGAAAACAATTTATGTAAATGTGCAAGAAAATGAAAAATGGCGAGGTGAAGAAATAAGAAGTGAAAGATAGGAAAAACGATTTAGTTTATTAAAATTTGGGTTGTGATGTCGAGAGAAAGCGAATACATCAGGGAATCAGGAAATTGATCTCGACGGGTAAGGATGTTTAAGGGCGATGGCAAAGGTCCTTGTCAACCATTGCTGAATGTCATTTTCTATCACCCAAAACTTTTAACCCTCCAATTAACTGTAAGATTAAAGCAGGAAGACATTTTAAAATGTTTAATCATTCTAGACGACTGCTATTTTAAGACTGAAACTCGGCCTTTAAAAAAATATTTGTATAATTTGAAAAATGACAGAAATTATCTACCGATAATTTGTGATAAAACAAAAATAGTGATATCAAACTGAAACAAAAGTTTAGATGATATAATATATTTGTAGCACTGAGTAAAAAGTATTATTTATTCATTCTTCAGCCAATTTTTTCAATATTTAACAAATTTATTTTATACGAAATGCGTTACCAAAAATTTGCGCAGTAGTTTTTCTCCATACCTACATTTATTTGAAATGATTAATATGGCAACACAATAGAA